TTGTGTGTGTGTGTGTGTGTGTGTGTGTGTGAGAGAGAGAGAGAGAGAGAGAGAGAGAGAGAGAGAGAGAGAGAGAGAGAGAGAGAGAGAGAACAACATGCAGGGAACCTGATTCTGCCTTGGTGGAATTTTTGTTCTCATAGGAACATCAGTGGAAAAAACAGGGTACTCAGAGGCAGAACTTGGCTAATTTAGCATATGCTGATTATTTTACGATGTTGATGATCAGTCTACGCTGCGATATGGTGCTTTCGTTTTGAATGGCTTGCTGTGCTCGAGAAATTTCACATGGAATTCTTCGAGTGGGTGCACACCCTACCTTTTCAGGCAGAGCACCCACAGCAGGTATAGCAGCACAGTGTATGTTATCCCCTTGACAGTGCGGCAGATGGAATCGCTGCCTCAGGGTATCTGGTCGTGTTTTCTATTAACCTCTCATTGCTGACACAGCATGCGCAGCTGCCTCGGCAGATGCACACAGAGATGCGTTTAGCTGCACTCACACTAGTAGGGGTGGTTCAAAGTTTCAAACACATACCTCACTCTTGACACTCTGCTCAATTCAGACAGAGTATTACTTCTTCAATAACAGCGCACCTGCTTTACTCACACAACCCATGAGGACACAGCCACTAATCTTCCAGTGTGACCAATGAAGCTTCCGTGGAAACTGTTACAGCTTCTCCACATGGTCAAAAGCAACACTTTTTAAAGACCGTCGAAGCAGAGGACTGCGGCCATCTGGTGAGTCGGAGCGCAGAGGAGCATAGTTTTGGTGGATAAGCTGTGTGTACTGTTGCGGGTTAGAGAACATGGGTCTATATCTGTGGCTGTTTGGGAAAGTTGCATCTATTGATGTCGCGCATGTTAGGAACAGGTTCTAGGCTCTAATGATGGTGATCCAACTTTCAGTGATGAGCAAGGGGCGGTGTGTTAGCTTTGAGTTAAGCGTTTTTCATGTGCTGGCAGTATTTGTGCTTCTCACTTCTGCCTTTAATGTCAATGCCGTCAGGTGATAGTCACTGACATTTTCTCTTTCTAACTTTCGATGCCATTGATCGTGCAGGTGCCATGGATAGGACCGCGAACCTAGCAGTCCTTAGCCTGCTGGCTGCAATGGCTCAAGTTAACGCTGCAGCCCCTAACACGCCTGCAGCGTGCCTGCAGCAGCAATCTCCTGCTTCCCCAGCAATCAATGCGCCAGCAGCGTTTGACCCGCATGCAGAACCGACTGTGCAAGTTGTCGAGAACCAGCTCACCGATGCTCTGCGCACATTGGCACAGGTTGGAGGACACATACATCTGCTTCAGCAGCGTCTTGCTAAGCAATGGGGTGGGCTGCCTTTACCAAACACAGCTGCATCAATCGCAACACCAGCTTCCTGTGCTGGTCAGCGGGCCACACGGGCCCTTTCCCATCTGCCTCCCGTGCAGCCGTCGCTGTCGGATCATGTGGTATCCGTGACAGCATACATGCAAGGTGGAGCATGCATGTCACCATTGGTGCCCTGCACAACAGGTGCTGAGCTTGGAGACGGTCTTCCTTCTCAGTCGCCACAACGACTTGACGGTCAAGTTGTGCCCACGGTGTGTGATATTCCGTCATCATCTCTTCAGACACCGCAAGGTCCATCAGCCCAGCAACCTGCCGAAGGGCATGATGGGGCAGGGGAGTTTGTGCTCATACCTGCAGACGTTCAGCAAGCAAGACTGCGGGCTTTTGCAAACATGTTGCAGGGGGTACCTGGGCAAAATCAACCCTCGGCACATGGGAAGAGTGATGGCGGCAAGAATGATGCAGAGTGTGCAGGACGATGCACGCCTCTGCAGTCCGCTTCTGGTGGAAGAGAGAAGCGGAAAGCCCCCATGAGCCCATCTTCTTCCTGCTCGTCTGCTGCCGACACAGATGGCGATGCGGAGAGTCCACCTGTCATGGAGCTTGTGAGCAGCGGTGATGCCGCCTTAACATCATTGTTCACAATCACAGCAGGAAGATGGTACAACAGCATCGTAGAGCTGCGAGCAGCTCTTCGGCAGACAGCTGTTGCCATGAACTTCGAGTACAGCGTTGTCAGATCTTCGCCACAGCGTTTCATTGCCCGGTGCCGTGTGCCAGATTGCCCATGGCGAATCCGCGCAATGGCTCCTCGGGGCGGCCTGCGATGTGTTGTGCAAGAAGTTACCGAGCACTCCTGCAGTGGATCCACTAGCGTCAAGAACCGCCATGCCGGCAAGGCCTGGGTGGCCGACATGTTCACGGCCAAGCTGCGGCATTCCCCAACGTACCATGCCCAGGACATTGTGAACGACTTGGTCCGCAGTGTTGGAGTCCATGTCACGTACAAGACAGCGTTGCGTGCACGCGAGCTAGCTCTGGAGCGAATGAGTGGGCCACCGGAAAAGGGCTACGTAAACCTGCCCTCGTACTGCCGTGCTCTGAAAGACCAGAACCCTGGCTCCGTCGCATTTGTGGAATGTGTGGAAGGCACAGACAGGTTCAACAGGTTCTTTTTTGCATTTGGGGCGAGCCTAGGGGGATTCAGGCACTGCAGGCCCCTTATTGGTTTGGACGCTGTACTTCTCTCTGGAAGGTACCCTGGAGTCCTACTCGGCGCCACCAGTATTGATAGCATGGACGAACCCTTTCCTCTTGCGTGTGCGGTTGTGAACTCGGAGGACAGGAATAATTGGGCATGGTTTTTGAAGGCATTACGTGATGCTCTGGGCCAAGGCGGCGGGCCTGAGAGGACATTTACCTTTATCTCTGACAGGGAGAATGGAGTTGTGGAAGGGGTGACGGACATTTTCCTAGATGCCCCTCACAGTTTCTGCATGAAGCATCTTATCAAGAGGATAAAGTCGCGTTTCAAGACGAAGGGTCTGGGGACCCTGATGTGGAAGGCTTACCGTGCCATGACCACAATTCTGTTTGACCAAGTGATGGACAAGTTACGAGAGCAGGAACCGAGAGTTGTTCCATGGCTGGAGGAGTCTGCACCACCCTGTTATTGGGCAACTGCCCACTTCAAGGGTGAGCGCTTCGGCCATCACACATCCAAAATAGCAGTGTCAGCAACCAATGCGTTTGTTGGTGCGTGCAGCCAGTCACCCACTGCTCTGTGTGACAGTGTTTGCCAGATTGTGGGACAGTGGTTTCAGGAGAGGAGGAAGCAGTCAGAGCAGATGGGTGGATTGGTTGTCCCTCTTGTGGCAGAGCGACTAGCGGCGACGAGGGAAAGGGCTCAGACATGTGTGGTCGAGCCACTGACAACGACCTCATTCAAGGTCTGCAGCAACAGCACTGCTGAGGTGCGACCTGTGTACCAGCTAGTTGATCTCGAACATCGGACATGCACGTGCGGCGGTTGGCAAACACGTGGGTGGCCATGCAAACATGCAGCAAGTGCCATTATGTCTCAGAACGGGATTCTGGAGGAGTGGTGCAGCCCATATTTCACCGTGGAATGCCTGAAGTTGACATACGAGGGGGCTGTCCATGTCATGCCCACTGTGCAAGAGTTGGGCCCACAAAAGGGTGAGCCAAACATTGGCCCGCCACTCACAAAGCGCCAGAAGGGTCGACCAAAGGTGCGACGTATCCGAGATGTGGCTGAGCTGTACAAAAGGGGTCAGCGATGTAGCCATTGCAAAAAAGCTGGCCATAATAGGGCAACATGCAAGGAGTCACCCTCTAAGGTGGCAGCACAGGCTGCTGCAACAGCTGCAGCTGTTGCTCGTGCCCTTAGGGGCAGTGCGCAAGGCGCTACGGAGGGTGCCACTGCCAAAGGGCGACACGACAGGCGAGTCCCCCGACTTGCTGTGCGCGCGCAGAGGAGGAGTCAGACGTAGGCACAAGGACGGGTGCACAGAGAGAGAGAGAGAGAGAGAGAGAGAGAGAGAGAGAGAGAGAGAGAGAGAGAGAGAGAGAGAAGGGGGGGGGGGGGCAGGAAAAGTGATTTGTCTGTATTTTTTGAACTTTTTTCCCTTTCGGTAGGCTGTTTTTGGTCTTCTGTGGTTCACAATTTTCTTTTTCCCAGTCTGCAGTTTGCAGTCAGTTCCAAATGTTATTTTGTGATTTAGAAACTGTCATTGAGTTTTTAGATCAGTTTCTGAGTCAGCCTTCTTTTTTTTTTCCTCCCTCAGGAACTGCATTGCCTTCGTGCAATTCCGATCATGCAATGTGTCATTATCTGCACTTTCTCTCCGCTCCCCCTCCCCCCGGCCTTGATTCACCGACCCTCAACTGTGTTGTTTGTACTCTAGTTCCACAATTTTTGCGAGTGCTGTATATTAATTTTTCATTTGACAGTCCTATCGCCTTGTTTATCTCCGATGTGTGTCATTTGTACTATCTGAGAGGGCAACTTTTGTTGTCCGTCAATGGCTGTCTGCAATCCCAATGTTTGCAGTCTTTCTGTGGAAACCCTTGCTCTGTTCCTCAGGACTCGAAAGCTTGCACAGTTTCTTTCAGGGTTTTCAAAGCACATCCGCCGAATGGAGTATGGAATACACATTTCCCTCGGTTTTTTAGTTCGCTTTCCTAAGTTCTCTTTTGTGTTGGGCTTGAACTCTTGAGTCTTGTTCGCCCTCTGCTCGTCAGACCGACTCTGTAAAAGTAGCCAACTGTTTTAAAACATTTCTGAACCTCGTCGCTCCCTCGTTTTATCAGACTTAACCTTTCAGTAGAGGGATATGTTTGAAACTCGACCCTCCAGTAGATAGAGATGCGTTTTGGACTTCCTTTGCAGAGAGTCATGGACCCATCATTGATGACAGTATTTGGGACTCTAGGAGTGTCCATGATGACATGATTTGGGACTCTAGGAGTGTCCATGATGACATGATTTGGGACTCTAGGAGTGTCCATGATGACATTATTTGGGACTCTAGGAGTGTCCATAATAACATGATTTGGGACCCTAGGAGTGTCCATGATGGCATGATTTGGGACTCTAGTAGTAGTAACTCCTGCTGTGGAAGGAGGCCGAAGGTGGCCATAGACTCGGTGGAATCCGTAGTGTGCTAGGGGTAATCAAACCTCCCTGTGGCACCTGTTTGCCATCAGACCGTGGCGGAGGAGATTGTGCGCAGACGTATCTGGCTCCAATGTTGCTACTCGTGACATCAAATAGCGTGTACCATGAAAACACAGAAAATCACATTTGAAACTACCCAAAAAGGAAAAGGGCTCATGTCATACAACCAAAATGCCCAAAATGCACACCGAGCTTATCGAAGGTGACTAGCTTGTGCACAGCATAATATGTCCTGGGGCCTCGGCGGGGGTGTGGGGGTCCGGGGGTGGGCACCCCTGGCCCTGGCTCCGGACCCCCTCCAGGGGGGTGCGCAGCGGCAGCCTGCACCCCCTGGGCCGAACTGCAAAAATGCAGTTTTGGCCCCACCTCGGCCCCCCCCCCGGCTACACCCACCCCTGGTGAGCCCGGGGTGGCCCTGGGCGCGGGGCCGGGGGCGGGGCTGAGCGGGGCTCGGGG